ACTCAATGGAGGGTGTTTGGCATATTGCCCCTAACTAGTATTGGTGAAAGTATGTTTGAAAAATGATATCAATTCTAATTTAAGTTGTATAGTTAATTAATTTAAAATTCATTTATTAAATATGGGGTGGTTAGAGCAATTCTAATGGAATTATCTAATAGGTTATTCAAATCTTTAACCATTATTCATTTCTTATGATGTAAATATACTTGCTGGAAGAAGAGTTATAAAAAATGGATTATTTGACAAAACCCCTCATTGAATTTTTACTTGGGGTCTTTACAAATAAGTCCATCAATGGGTACTTATTCATAAAGAGATTTAGACAATAAATTCATTTACATAAAAGTCTACACATGGTCCAGATTTTTGTAAAAGACTAAAGTAGCGGCTCATACTTTAGGGTAAATTCCACTTTACCCCCTCGTACTCTGCCCGAGAATCACTTTACCCCCTCGCACTCTCAATTTCATCGATTTACCCCCTGTACTTGTACAATTTCCCAATACAGCCCTCTCCGTCAACTTTTTTCGATTTTGACTCTGATGCCGTTTGGTCAACTCTGTAAATTACAAAATTACCAATAACACGTCGTTTCTTCTCCGTCAATATTGTTGTTTCTTCTTCTCCCACCACTTCCTCTTCCAAGATATCTCCAAATTGAAGCCCTAACTTAGCAAAAATCAAGACCCAAAAATTGATCGATTCCACCCAGTGCAAAGAAAAAAATATATAAATGTGTGAAACTTTCTCTTTTCTAAACTCGAGAGTCAAAATTGAAAAAAAGTCAATATTTACGTCAATATTTTGACTCTGACCAAACGGCGTCAGAGTCAAAATCAAAAAAAGTTGACGGAGAGGGTTGTATTGAAAAATTGTGCAAGTAAGGGGGGTAAATTGATGAAATTGAGAGTATGAAGGGGTAAAGTGATTCTCGGGCAGAGTACGAGGGGGTAAGGTGGAATTTACCCCATACTTTAATATGCTCCAATTGCATCCTTAATTTAGTTTAACCTCATTTTGACCCCAAATTTCACAAATTATTCAATTTTGACCAAAAATACATTTTTATGGACAAATTCGTAAGTTACCGCCGTTGATCGCCGGTCTCCTGCGTTGATTTTTTTTTTTCACTGGTCTCTGGCTTTGAATTTTTCTCTTTTTTTTTTCTTTTTTTTTCTCCTGGTTTTTCCGCCACGTTTTTTTTCTTTCTTTCTTTCTGTAACATCTTTTTTTTCGTTTAAACAGTAATATTGCGGTGATTGACAATAATATTAACTATATTACTGTTAAACACAGTAAAATTAACTAAACTACAGTTTAACACAAGTAATATTGCTATATTAATCTCTAGCACAGTAATATTAACACAACAAAACTCATTATTATTGTGTAATAGAGTAATATTACTATGTTGATCGTTCAACAAATGTAAACACAATAAAAGCCAAAAGAATTAATATTATTGTGAGTGACAGTAATATTACTATAACAAACAGTAATATTACCGTCAACCACAGTAATATTAATAATAATAGACAGTAATATTATTATGTTACTCCGTGAATAACTCAAACAAACAAAAAATCCAAACAAAATAATAATATTGATGTGGTTGACAGCAATATTACTATAACAACAGTAATATTACCGTCAACCACAGTAATATTATTGTGTTTACAGTAATATTATTACGTTACTCCGTAAATAACTCAAACAAAACAAAAAACCGAAAAAAATAATAATATTGATGTTGTTGAGAGTAACATTATTGTGTTTATAGTTATTTTATTGTCAACGACAGTAATATAATTACGTTGACTTGTTAACAAATCAAACAAAATAAAAAATAATAATAATATTACGTTAATTTACTGTCAACGGCAGAACAATTACATAAATGTATTGTCAACGGCAGTACAATTATGTTAATTAACTGTCATTGAAAGTATAATTACGTTAGTTTACTGTCAGTGATAGCACAATTACGGTCAACGTTTAGCGGCGGACATAAAAAAAAAAAACCGAAAAAAAACACTAAAAAAAGTCAACGCCGAAGACCGGCGGTCAACACCGGAATCCGGCGGCGGAAAAAAACATACCAAAAAAAAAAAAAAAAAAATCAACGCGGGAGACCTGCGTTGATCGTTGGTCAACGCCATAAACCGGCAAAAAAATTCGAAAGATAAAAAAAATCGAAAAGTCAACGCCGGAATCTGGCGGCAAAAAAAATTTAAAAATAAAAAATTTTGAAAAAAAAAATCAAAATTGAATTTTTGTGGTCAAAATTGGGTTTTTGTTGACAAAATTGATTAAATTGGGGTTACAATTAAGAATTCGGTTTAAAGGGTTGGGGGTAATATTGTGATATACATGAATTTTTCCTTTATTTATAATAAATATTAAAGGGATGGGCTTATTGGTGAAAGAGATATAACCCCTAAACCTAGAATAATAAAGATGTTTGGTTAGGGACCTATGGACAAAAACCCCTTTTTACTTCAATATTCCATGTTTATTAATTGATATTTGTTATAAACCCAACAGACTCGAATTATCCAAAATACTCGCAATTAATATTACTGAAAATTACCATATTATATTATTACGGAAAATCGATTAATTTTTTTAAATATGCAAATCCTCTTAATATCTTCCGATATCACACCATTTTAGTTTCTATTTTTCATTTCATTTTTTTTAATGGTTTTCTTTATTTCTATTTAAAACAAAAATTGATTATTTTTTTTAATTTTGTTTTATTTTTATTTTTGGACTTTTATTTTAAATTATTTTTTTCTTATTTATATTGTTCATGTTTTCATTTTGTTTTTTTTTCAAAATGGTTTTTTTTATTTTTTCCCTTTTTTTTTTGGAATATCAAAATGTTTTGTTTTATTATTTTCTTATAATTTTTTTTTATTTCGATTAAAAAAGTGATTTCTTTTGCGGACTTATGCACAAAAACCTCTTTCTCAAATAGTGTAAAATAGTTGGAGTCTTTTCTATTAAAATAAATAGTGAGGGGTTATATCAAATAGCCCTTTTTTATTTTGTTTTAGGAAAATTATCGTATATTTAGAAGAAAAAATCATCCTACTTTAATCAAGGTAAATAACTATATTATTCCTTGTACGAGAATGATACTAAAAATTTATTCATCAAATAGAAGACCATATCGAAACAAATAATAATATTAGGGCATATTACAAATAAGCCCATCAGTGGGAACTTATTCATAAAGAGATCCAGACAATATTCTCCTTTACCAATAAGTCCACACATGGTCCAGATTTATGTAAAGGACTAAAATAACCCCTCTTACTTTAATATGCTCCAATTTCATCCTTAACTTACTTTAACTTCAATTTGACCCCAACTTTCACAAATTATTCAATTTTGACCCAAAACTTTTTTTTTTTCACAAATTTTTTTTTTTTCAAAAACTTTTTTTTCCCGCCGGATTCCGGCGTTGACTTTTTAATTTTTTTTTTTTTTTTTTTTTTTTTTTTTTTTTTTCCCCCCCGGATTTTTTTTCCGGATTCCGGCGTTGACCGGCGGTCAACGCCGGTTTCCGGCGTTGGCTTTTTATTTTAATTTTATTTTTTTTTTTTTTTTCTTCCGGATTTTTTTTCCGGATTCCGGCGGTCAACGCCGGTTTCCGGCGTTGACTTTTTAAATTTTTTTTTTTTTTTTTTTTTTTTCTGTAACTTTTTTTTCGGTTTAAACAGCAATATTGCTGTGAATGACAGTAATATTAACTATATTGCTGTTAAACACAATAAAATTAACTAAACTATAGTTTAATACATTGATATTGCTATATTAATCTCTAGCACATTAATATTAACACAACAAAATTCATTATTATTGTATAATAAAGTAATATTACTATGTTGTCCGTTCAACAAATGTAAACAAAATAAAAAAAACCAAAAGAATTAATATTACTGTGAGTGACAGTAATATTACTATAGCAACAGTAATATTACAATAGTAGACAGTAATATTATTACGTTACTTCGTGAATAACTCGAACAAAACAAACACCCCAAAAAAATAATAATATTGATGTTGTTGACAGTAATATTATTGTGTTTACAGTTATTTTACTGTCAACGACAGTAATATAATTACGTTGACTTGTCAACAAATCAAAAAAAATAAAAAAAAAATAATAATAAATAAAAAAATATAATATTGCATTAATTTACTGTCAACGGCAGCACAATTACATAAATGTAATGTCAACGGCAGTACAATTACGTTAATTAACTATCATTGACAGTATAATTACGCTAAATTACTGTCAGTGACAGCACAATTACGGTCAACGTGTAGCGGCGGGCGTGGAAAAACAAAACAAACCAAACAAAAAAAAAAAAACTTAAAAAAACACTAAAGAAAGAGACCGCCGGAAACCGGCGAAAAAATCCGGAAGAAAAGAAAAGAAAAAAAAAAGAAAAAAGAAAAAAAAAAAAAAAAAAAGTCAACGCCGGAATCCGGAAAAAAAATCCGGAAGAAAAAAAAAAAAAAAAAAAGTTTAAAAAGTCGCCGGAATCCGGCGGCAAAAAAAAGTTTTTGAAAAAAAAAATTTTTTGAAAAAAAAAAAATTTTGGGTCAAAATTTAATAATTTGTGAAATTTGGGGTCAAATTGAGATTAAATTAAGTTAAGGATGAAATTGGAGCATATTAAATTATACTCCAAAAAAAAGTCAAAATTGAATTTTTGTGGTCAAAATTGAACTTTTATGGACAAAATTGATTAATTTGGATTACAATTAAGAATTGGGTATAAATGATTGAGGGTAATATTGGGATATACATGAATGTTTCCTTTAGTTATAATAAATATTAAAGGGATGGGCTTATTGGTGAAAGAGATATGTCCCCTATACCTAGAATAATAAACATGCTTGGTTGGGGACTTTTGCATAAAAACAAATAATAATATTATTTTACTATCCGGGTTTATTCTTCTTCCATGTTTCTTATTTGAATTCCCTATCTGATCGTGTTATCTCCGTCCCAATTCCACCTGGTTATCGTAATAAATCGGTGAAGAGCCACACGACGCCCAGCGCCGCCGCTAACCCTAACCCTCCTCAATGGCCGTGGTGCCTTCAACCACCGGGGATTCTGCCACCTGGCATTCCGGTCAATACACATCGCCCACTGTTCCGCCACCAGTTTATCCCGTTGCTCCTACCATCTACTCTTCTTTCCCCCAATATAAACAGGTAATTGTTTAATAATTTATTCACATTCTTTTTTGTCTTTTAAGCTTTGATTGCCCTAGAACACATAATCCTTCGTGTAAACCTATTTGATTATTCAGAATGATGTGTTTTATCAATTTATTTATGTATTTGGTGATGAGGTTATGAAACATTTGTGTTTATCGGAAGTTGACCGATAAACGTATGTCCCTATTTATTCAGTTTGTGTTCTAATAGCGGGTTTTGATCATATGGACAGGCACAAGAGTTATTTCAGAGAGACGCCCAATCAATAAATCCAGAAGCTCTTGAAAGTGTGAAAGCTGCAATTGCATGTAGCGAAATTGAGCACAAAACCGAGACTTTCAATAAGAGGAAGCCGATTCCTCGAAAAGCTGCAGGGCAAACTTGGGTGGACCCCACTCTTGCAGAATGGCCCGAGAGTAAGTGCATACTCACCCCTCTATTTTAACTATTATGCTCGAATTTGATTACTTTCCAAAGAAGCTCTAGCCTACGAGTTTTTGTTTGATTCATTTTTTTACGCCCCCCTAGTAAATTTGTCTTAGATTTGTGTCAAAAAGTTATTGTCTTAGCCAATTTTTTTATTTTATTTTGTTAAAATTAGTCCTTGGTATTATACTATTTTAACATTCGAACCTTTACATTAGTATTTAGATCATGATCGATTATTATACACGGACCATCTCTATCAGTTTTATGTAGCACTCCCCTCTCTGCATTATGTATTCAACTCTGTAAATAGATATAGAAAAGCTAGGATAATTTAACTGAGGCGTGCGTGCATTTTCGGTTTAATACTTTGGTTAATTTCTCAGCATAAGTTGTCTGTCGTTTTTCATTCGTGTCCAGTACTTTAACCTTCCTTCAGTTAAACTTGCAGAAAGCAATTGTTATTTATTGATATATTGTTGGCATTTTGCAGATGACTATCGTCTATTTTGTGGTAATCTTGGAAATGAAGTGAACGATGATATTTTGTCAAAAGCTTTTTCGAAATATCCTTTCTTTAATAGGGCCAAGGTATGCATCCGCCGTTGTACGATTTTTTTTCTTCCTGGATTTATATACATTACAAGACATTATAAGTAATGGTACGTTAATTTTAAAATTGGATTAGGTTGTTAGAGAGAAGCGTCTTGGCGGCAAAACTAAGGGGTATGGATTTGTTAGTTTCTCCAACCAGGCAGACCTTGTGGCTGCGCTAAAAGAAATGAACGGTGAGTTCTACATTTGCATCTGCGATTTTTAATTACTTAATAATTTATTTATTTTTATGTTTTTGGAGCTAAAATAATTTTGGTTCAGGGAAATATGTCGGAAATCGTCCAATTCAACTTAAGAAGAGCGACTGGAAGGCGAGGACTGATACCGAAGCTGTGGAAACACAAAAGGTACTGAGTATGTTACACTCTCAGGTGTATTATGCATGATTCTTCATCATTGTCTGTTCGATTGTTTTTTTTTTTTTTTTGTTTTTTCTTTTTATAAATTGTTTTGGTTTTTCTCTCTCTTGCAGCAGTATTCTCAGAAGAAGACCAAACGACCGAGGAAAAGCGTGTTGCATAAATGAGCAGAGCCGGTTAGTGGGCGACAAGTTAAAAGGAGAATGTTCTATATCTATTATAGATGATGAATATAGTTATAACAAGTCAGTTTTTGCTCTAACTATTTATTAGTCATTTTTCAATTATTTAATTAGTAGATATTTGTAATTAGTGTGTATAATGGAGTAAAATTAAAATAAATATTACGGGTTAAATACGCTTTATACCCTTAAACTATATGTAACACTTACCCCTCAAGCACCGTTTTATTTAGATTTTAAGTTTTAAACTATATGTAACACTTACCCCTCAAGCACCATTTAATTTATATTTTAAGTTTTAATACTTATTTAATAAATGACATCTATTTCTTTTTAGTCAATTGATCGAATCTGAAACGCTAAATCATGCACAAGAATTAAAATACTTTCTTTCTCTAAAAATCCAAAGATCCAAAAACTTTTTTCTCTTCCAATCCTTCTATTCCCCTCATTTTCGCTCAAAATCATGCACAAAAATAACACTAACGTTCGAGATTTGAACTTGAGGAAAATCTTGACAAACTGACTCTACACAATAATTTTATCTTTAGCTGTAAGTTTCAGTTTTTGATCGACTTGAAATGGATTACGGTTGTTATGGTGGTGTTTTCGAAAAAAAAAAAAGGAAAAGGTCAAGAGTTTATGTGGGCGCCGGTGGAGTTGGGTCGCCGGTGAAATTGGGCCACCGGTGGAGCGCTGGATTGTGAGTAGTCGGCGACAGACGAAGGTAGGACCACCTACGATGGAGATGGCGTAGGGAAGCTAGGTTTTTTTTCTTTTTTTCTTTTTATATTTAATTATTATTTATTAATTGTTTAATTATGTTTGTTAAATATTAATTAATGTAAAATAATCACTTAATAGATGTAAATAAATATTTTAGAATTTTAATTGTTTAAAAAATATTTAATAATTAATAATATTGAATACATGTTAATTACATTTAATTATAATTATAATAATAATTAATAAGTAATAAATATTCAGTACTAAACTGGCCATTGATAGGACCGGCAATTGAGTCGGGCCTAACCGAAGCCCGATGGCTCGGCCCGATTATATTTGGGCCGAGCCTACTTTTTAGTGAGCCGGACCGAGTTTGAACCATTTTACTAAACCCGATTTATTTATGAGCCGAGTTTGAGCCTACTATGGCTCAACCCGAATAAGGTCCGACCGATTAGGATAATAACAAAATATATAATATATTTATTATTTTAATACTATGACTCAACATACAAGTTATGACCGAATAAGACTATTTGATTTTGCGAAGAAAAAAGTCAAAATAAAAGGAATTAAGTAGTGACGGTGGCAATAAGTTAAATATGAATCAAATGAAACATCTCAACGAGATTTGAGAATATAAAATGTTTCCAATAATAAGAGTTACTAATCTTTTTTTACTTCTTTCGGTTTTATTTTCAAGTTTTTCCAATAACTTTCAATGATCGTTTAAGGTTTTTTTTTATTAGCTTCAATGGAGGTAAATCTCGTTCATCACTTATTTTTATAAAAAAAATTTACACAATTATATAGTAATGAGGCCTGATATAAACCCGAAACCCGAAAAAATACATGAGCCGAACTTGAGCCTATTGTATGTAAAATAGGGAATGTCGGCGAAAAATCCAACCGTTGTAAGATATTGTGTTTAAGTGTTACGGTTCATGTTTTCGAGTAGTCTGCTTGGAGGACTACCACGTTCTGTTATTTTTTATTTTTTTTTTGCATCGTTTTGTAATTGCAAAATCTGGTTTTTCTTATTGATAGACTCCCATATTGTTTTTTGCTACATTATGATATTAGTATTTTAAATTAAGAGACAATCTGATTTTTTTTATTGCAATTAAGAAATGGCAACTTCAGCAAACCACTATTAAATAATCGATACTACTACTAGGACTATGGTTAGACAAGACAATTATATTACATCAATTTAATAGACATCGATGTCAAATTTATTTTCGGTCTAGCAATATTAGATTGAAAACAACAAGTAAAGAAAGATAATTCAACAATCTCAGTCGCAAGGGAGCGGGATGATTAAACATATATTTTATAAATTGGGCATGTTTTCTAGTAGCGCCCATCTAGAATCAACTGCACCATGTTGGATTTGTGCTCATCACTCAAGCAAAATAATATATCTAGATCTTTGAAATTATCGCATATTCGGGAAATTGCTTTGAGCCTCTCCTCGAAAGTAAGATTAGGCATGTTTTCTAGGGCATCAAATACTTGTTTCCTTGCTGCCGAAACATCTTTCTCGAACCCCCATACGGCTCACTAATTCAGCCATTTGGACCGCCATTTTCTCGAAGAGTTTTGAGGCCATCTCGGCGTACCCACCATCGATTGGGTCACTACGTGACCATTTCTTAGACTTTAATTTATTCTTCGCGGAAGTCGCCTCGTCGATTCGGCTGAAAGACATATATTGAGAGTAATTGTCAGCATTCGAAGGATCCGTTTACGACACTTCCTCATCATCGTTTGGCACGTGTTTTTTCCCTTTATTGGAGTTCGAGACGAGATCGTTAATTTTTTCAGTGAATGCTTCGGCATGTTCGCCGGTTACACGATCCTTGCCAAATATTTGCACATCGCTAAAACGATGGTGTCATTGCGAAACTCAAACTTCATACTCATAAAACCAAACATAAAACGACATTAACTCACAAAGTACCCACCTCTCTTGCATTATCTTGATACGAACCCTCAAAATCATTGTCTCTTGTTTCCATATTGTACTATGTGTAGGGTTTGTAGATGAGAAGAAACGTTAACAAAAAAGATTTCTCCTCCAATAAACATTAGTAGTGTTGTGTAGTTGATATAGTGGGTTTACGAATATTTAAAATATGTTTGTTTTTTTTTTCCTAACAAAACAGTAATAGGGCAATTTGGTCTTTTAATTAAGGATAATTTTGAGATTACCGTTTAATGGAGTGGGGTGAACACCTATATAGCAAACCCATACTTTTAATGCCAAATAATAAATTAATTAAATATTTTAAGAAACAAAGTCCATCTATTCTAAAGCATCACGGAGACAAAACATACACTAACAAAATGAAAAGTAGAAAAATAAAATAAAAATAGAAGGAAAGTGATCATGTTGATGTCGATGGTGATAAAAAAAATGGCCCCTTCTACAATATACATTGAACTCTACGTTGACTTGTTTTTGTAAGGTATATAATCAGTTGGAGGCTATAAATTTGCGATATAGTGGGATTAAAGTTCCGGGGTTTAGCGGCAACGCCCCCGATTTTTTTTCAATGATAATTTGCATTAAATAGCGGGATGATTACACTTTTGGTCCCTCATGTTTGGTCCGACGTCACTTTTGATCCCCTTTGTTTCAAAGTGAACAAAGTTCTCCTCCAAGTTTCAATTTTAAACACTTTTGGTCCCCGATGTTACATATCCGTTAGCAAGTACCGGAAAACACTATTTTGGGATGAAAATTGAAAATTTAAAATCTTTTGGTGCTGAAAAATAATTATAAATTTAAAATAGACTACTTATAATTTTTAATAATAAAAAAAGAAATCAACGAAACAAATTATTTTTTAATATAGTTAAAATTATTATAATTATACTACTTATAATTATTTTTTTAATAATAAAAAAATTAGATAAACAAATTATTTTAATCATACTTAATATTATTTTTAATTATACTACTTATGATAAAAAAAAAATTATTAACAAAACAATAAATTAACTTAACATATTATTTTTAATTATAATTAATATTATTATAATTGTATTAATTATAATTATTTTTTTAATAATAAAAAATAAATTAACTAAACAAGTTGTTTTTAATTATACTTAATAGTATTTTTAATTATACTACTTATAATAAAAAATTAATAATAATAAAAAAATTAACTAAATAAGTCATGTATAATTATACTTAATATTATTATAATTATACTACCTATAATTATTTTTTTAATAAAAAAAGAATTAAAATTAAAAAATTTGCCCCAAAATAGTGTTTTCGGTTACTTTCTAACGGACATGTAACGGCGGGGACCAAAACTGTTCAAAATTGATACTTGGACGTGAACTTTGTTCACTTTGAAACAAGGAGGACCAAAAGTGAAATCGGGCCAAACATGAGGAACCAAAAGTATAATTATCCCATTAAATAGCACTAAAACAAGTGAATATATATAAATTTACTTAACTAATATATTATAAATTTAATAATTACAGGCCCCCATGATTTGAGGGAATTACATAAACAAGTAATAATCATTGATTTAATATATATTTATAAATTAGGATTCTCAATAATGATATATATTTTTTTTAATAAATGCTACTATATAAAGAGAATAAAAAGATCGAGGGCCCTAAATTTTTAAAAAAATACTTCGCCTCCCCTCTAAACAGACCCTACGGTTGGCCGTGGTCAATTGGTGGTGACCTATTGATGGCAGATTGGGTAAAGACTTAAGACATGAGCTGAGCGTGAAAGTGAAATTTAGCATGGAGAGAAGCTACCCTAGTTTTACTTTTTAATTAATACATACAGCATTCTCCATTTAGCTTCTCGCCCACTAGCCGGCTCTGCTCATTTATGCAACACGTTTTTCCTCGGTCGTTTGTTCTTCTGAGAATGCTGCAGCGAGAGACAAAAACCAAAAAAAATTAAAAAAGAAACAAAATAAAATTGAACAGCCAACGATAAAAGAATCATACACAATACACCCTGAGAGTGAAACATACGCAGTACCTTTTGTGTTTCCACAGCTTCAGTATCAGTCCTCGCCTTCCAGTCGCTCTTCTTAAGTTGAATCGGACGGTTTCCGACATATTTCCCTGAACCAAAATTATTTTAGCTCCAAAGACATAAAAAATAAATTATTAATTAAGTAATTAAAAAGCACATATGCAAATACAACTCACCGTTCATTTCTTTTAGCGCCGCAACAAGGTCTGCCTGGTTGGAGAAACTAACGAATCCATATCCCTTAGTTTTGCCAAGGCGCTTCTCTCTAACAACCTAATCCAACATTAAAATTAACCCACCATTACTTATAAATTATAATGTCTTGTAATGTATATATATGCAGGGGAAAAAAAAGCGTACAACGGTAGATACATACCTTGGCCCTATTAAAGAAAGGATATCTCGAAAAAGCTTTTGACAAAATATCATCGTTCACTTCATTTCCAAGATTACCACAAAATAGACGATAGTCATCTGCAAAATGCCAACAATATATCAATAAATAACAATTGCTTTCTGAAAGCTTAACTGATGGAAGGTTAAAAGTACTGCACACGAACGAAAAACGACTGACAAATTATGCTGAGAATTAACCAAAGTATTAAACTGAAAATAGTCATCTCCTATCCAATTATACAATGCACGCACACCTTAGTTAAATTATCCTAGCTTTTCTATATCTATTTACAGAGGTGAATACATAATGCAGAGAGGGAATACTACATAAAACTGATAGAGATATTCCATGTATAATAATCAATCATGATCGAAATCCTAATGTAAAGGTTCGAATATTAAAATTGTAGAATAACCGGGACTTTTTCACAAAATAAAATAAAAAATTTGGCTAAGGCAATAACTTTTTGACACAAATCTAAGACAAATTTACTAGGAGGGATATAAAAAAAAAATGAATCAAACAAGAACTCGTAGGCTAGAGCATCGTCGGAAACTAATTAAATTCGAGCATAATATTTAAAATAGAGGGGTGAGTATGCACTTACTCTCAGGCCATTCTGCAAGAGTGGGGTCCACCCAAGTTTGCCCTGCAGCTTTTCGAGGAATCGGCTTCCTCTTATTGAATGTCTCGGTTTTGTGCTCAATTTCGCTACGTGCAATTGCAGCTTTCACACTTTCAAGAGCTTCTGGATTTATTGATTGGGCGTCTCTCTCAAATAACTCTTGTGCCTGTCCATATGATCAAAACCCGCTATTAGAACACAAACCGAATAAATAGGGACGGACGTTTATCGGTCAACTTCCGATAAAAAGAAAAAAAAAATTAATGTGAATAAATTATTAAACAATTACCTGTTGATATTGGGGCAAAGAGAAGATGGTAGGAGCAACGGGATAAACTGGTGGCGGGACCGCCAGAGAAACGGGTGGTGGGACCGGCGGAAGGTGAAAAGGAATCGGAAAATAAGAGGTAGCATCGGTAGAGTATGTGTATTGACCGGAATGCCAGGTGGCAGAATCATCCGGGGCCATTGAGGAGAGTTAGGGTAGAAGGGTGGAATTATTCAATCCTATTGGGACGGAGATGGAATAACACAATCAGATAGCGTATTCAAATAAATAGGATAAATTTTTTCTTCTAAAAATACGATTATTTTCGTAAGATAAAAAATAAGAAAACGATAACTACTCCTAGGGCTGGGCAATCAGGATTGAGATTCTAGTCTGGAATTCAGGATTACAGGATTCGGGATTTGAAAGAAACACGGGACGGGATTCGGGAATTAATTAAATTCAGTTCAGTACAATTTAATCAATGGCACTTTCGAAATTTTATCAGATTCTGAATCAAGCACCTACAGCCTATTATGAACTCAAACAAATAAAAACTAAATGCAAAAACAGTAATAAAAATCATTAAAAAGAAAAAAAAAGATGATCTTTATACAAATTAAACATGAGACAACGCATCGGCGAAGCTATACACACAGAAATTGACTGTATAAATACATACCCATGAATTATTACCTGATTTAAAGCATTAGGTTATCCTCCCAAGCTGCGTTTGATTGGGATTGGGATTGGGGAAGAAGAATTGGAATAATTTAAATTGAAAACGTTTGGTAGAGAGTTGTGCGAAATATGAAGCAGGATTTCTTGTGTGGAGGGTTAAAACTTAAAACCCTCGTCAAGGTTTAATTTTAGGGTAAATTACAAACACCCCCTGAGGTATGATCAAATTACAAAAATCCCCCTCTTGTTTGCATAATTACATCTACCCCCCTCAACTATGATTTTTTCTTACACCTCCACCCTTACGGTGCCAAATTCAACATAATCATCTAGATTCCGTGAAATGTGCTCTAGTTTGTACTCGTTTTGTGTAAAAATACAGTTTTCGATGCACCACAAACTGATATATACAAGCTAAAAATCACATACTATGATCATCTTGCTTCATAATGTAGAGTTTGAATGGGATAAAACGGGTACAAAAGTGATAATATTCCATATAATCTCGAAGATTCCACTAAATTTGAGGAGTTGAGGGGGTGGTTGTAATTATCCAAACAAGAGGGGTGTTTTTGTAATCTGACCATACTTCAGGGGGTGTTTGTAATTTACCCTTAATTTTATAAGGGTTCTCCAATTTTCTAAATTAAGACAAGATTATTGTATTCTTGTAAGGGTGGTATTCCTTTTCCCAATAAGCTCGTTCCTTTAATATTTATTATAAATAAAGGAAGTATCAATGTATATGTCAATATTACCCTCAATCCTTCATACTTAATTTTTAATTGTAACCTCAATTTAATAAATTTTGTCCACAAAAATCCAATTTTGACCACAAAACTTCAATTTTGAATTTTTTTTTTTTCAAAAACATTTTTTTGTTTTGTTAGTTTTTTTTTACGTCCGTCGCTAAACGTTGACCGTAATTGTGCTATCACTGACAGTAAATTAACGTAATTATACTGTCAATGACTGTTAATTAACGTAATTGTACTGCCGTTGACAATACATTTATGTAATTGTTCTGTCATTGACAGTAAATTAACGTAATATTATTATTTTTTATTTTGTTTGATTTGTTGACAAGTCAACATAGTTATATTACTGTCGTTGACGGTAAAGTAACTGTAAACACAATAATATTACTGTCAACAACATCAATATTATTATTTTTTTGAGTTTTTTGTTTTGTTTGAGTTATTCACGGAGTAACGTAATAATATTACTGTCTATTATTGTAATATTACTGTAAACACAATAATATTATTGTGGTTGACGGTAATATTACAGTTGTTATAGTAACATTGCTGTCAACCACATCAATATTATTATTTTGTTTGGATTTTTTTTGTTTGTTTGAGTTATTCACGGAGTAATTAACGTAATAATTACTGTCTATTATTGTAATATTATTGTGGTTGACGGTAATATTAGTGTTGTAATAGTAATATTACTATCGCTCACAGTAATATTAATTATTTTGGCTTTTTATTAAGTTTACATTTGTTGAACGGTCAATATAGTAATATTACTCTATTACACAATAATAATGAGTTTTGTTGTGTTAATACTGTGCTAAAGATTAATATATCAATATTACTGTGTTAAACTGTAGTTTAGTTAATTTTACTGTGTTTAACAGTAATATAGTTAATATTACTGTCAATCACAGCAATATTGCTGTTAAAACCAAAAAAAAAATGATAATTAATATGACTGTCAATCAAAGCAATATTGTTGTTTATCAGAAGTTGACCGAGAAACGTTTGTCCCTATTTATTCAGTTTGTATTCCATTAGAGGGTTTTGATCATCTGGACAAGCACAAGAGTTATTTCAGGAGTTATTTCAGAGAGACGCCCAATCAATAAATCCAGAAGCTCTTGAAAGTGTGAAAGCTGCAATCGCAAGTAGCAAAATTGAGCACAAACTAGAGGCATTCAATAAGAGGAAGCCGATTCCTCGAAAAGCTGCAGGGCAAACTTGGGTGGACCCCACTCTTGCAGAATGGCCTGAGAGTAAGTGCATACTCACCCCTCTATTTTAAATATTTATGCTTGAATTCGATTACTTTCCAAAGAAGCTCTAGCCTACGAGTTTTTGTTTGATTCATTTTTTTACGTCCCCCTAGAAAATTTGTCTTAGATTTGTGTCAAAAAGTTATTGTCTTAGCCAATTTTTTTTATTTTATTTTGTTAAAATTAGTCGTAGGTATTCTACTATTTTAGCATTCGAACCTTTACATTAGTATTTAGATCATGATCGATTATTATACACAGATCATCTCTATCAGTTTTATGTAGCACTCCCCTCTCTGCATTATGTATTCAACTCTGTAAATAGATATAGAAAAGATAGCTAAGAGATTAACTATATTCCTATGTGAATATCACAAAGGCTCTTCTACCACAGTTCTAGTTATTAATCCGATCTTCCGATTCATGCGATTAACAATAACATAAAAGCACATAAGGTGATCAAATTCATGCACTTAATAAAACAAGTAGGAGAAATAATCCGTAGTTAAAACTTGCATAAAATCATAGAATTGGGTTCATAAATCCCACATAGGGTTCCAAATAAAATCCTAGACATACAGACTTAGCTACTCGTAATTCTTATGATAAAGAAAATAAAATAAATAAATTAAATAAGAAAAACTATGCTTGAGTCTTCGTTGATCTTCGTTCCTCGCTTTTTGTGGTGTCTATTTTCGTCCTTATGGTGTAGAGACTTGTTGCTTTTATAGGCTTTTCTTGATAAGGAAGTAGTGGAAACCTAATAGGAATCAATTTCCGCCACTTTCCCCCATCAGGACTTGTTCTTCGATTTTCGCCATGTTGGAGTCCGAATTTTGGAATATTGTGTAAATACGAATTGTAGCCCTTGCAATTAGCTTTCCAATGCCGCCAAAATCAGCTGATTTGGAGTTCGTATGAGAGAGATTGCTCGAAATGGTGGACACAACCAAAGCTGTGGCGAGATTCCTTCTTCCAATTTGATTTATTTCCTTATTTGCAACTTTTTCCTTTCTTTTTGATCTATTTTACTTCATGGTCACCTAATTCTTGTTTTTCACCTATAAAACACAAAATCAATCAATTAAAGCACAAATATAATTAAATCTAATCAAAAGATCCACGTAAAGTAAGCGTATTAAGCGTAAAATCTACACTCAACACACCCCCAAACTTGAACTTTTGCTTGTCCTCAAGCAAAATCTAATCATAATCAACTAACTCAACTACCGCATCTCATCACATAGATTAACGACCAACTTCCCGTTTTCAGAACTTGTAATTATAATGAAAATTCTTAGGCATTCGCAAGCTCAAAATTCAAAAGCACTTAGTCACTTACCATAGCCAAAAACCACAAATCATGCAATTGCTTCAAGCATCCAATATTTGTAAATTAAAGATAGAAAAAATTTATACTTACATGCATATGTTTGACTCCAAATACTCACCAAATTATTCTACTCTACTAATATCGAACATCAAGCTATTGGGATCATTAGGGCTTTGTGGCTTCCAATTGTTAGGCTCTTTGGTTCGAGGTAGGAAATATGGGTATATGTGGTTATTATTCTTGAATTGAGGTGATTACGCCAAAATTTGAAAGATAGCCGCGTTTAAAACAATGAATTCACCTCTAAGGACTTTAATAAACCCGATTATCAAAAGTTCAAAAGTCTCCACTTTTGCTTTTGAGGCAAAGGATCGAGCTTTCAAAAATAATTTCAACAACTAGTCATTTCTTCTCCCTTCTAGTCTCTTCTTCTTCTTCTTTTTTTTTTTTTTTTTTTTTTTTTTTTTTTTTTTAAGAAGGAGAGACCTTATAAAAAATTTCGACCGAACTCCAAGGGGTAATATTTCAAAAATCTCCACTTTTCTACCTTATACACATTGGCTAAAAAAAGAACACCTTTTCTCCGAGGCTCAAATCAAGGTTCTACGGATAATTTCGATAAAAAGGTCGGCTTGAAAGGCTCAAACGGTTCAAAGAAGGCCCAAATCATATCCCAAATCACTCACTACTCAATACTTCGTATCATAAATTTACTAAGGTGAGTTTTAAAACCGAACATAGCATGATCTAGCACAAATTAATTCCAAATTTAAAATACAAAACATTCAACCAAAGCAATGCACAAAGTGTGATTCCTATAAATAATTTGCTTCTAAGTTACGTTGAATCGAGAGCTAAACAAACATCTAATCCTTATCACACAAAACAAGTAATCTCATCATCAAACATTGATCATCTCTCATCATCATAAATCATCGATGCATTCTACTTAAGCAAAATTTTTTTTATATTCCGGAAAAACGAGAAAAACAATAAAAACGAATACAACCTAATGCAAGCAAACTAAAACAAATAAGCACAAAAACATGTTTTTCACCCCCAAACTTAAAATTTTCGTTGCCCTCAACGAAATTAGCACAAAGTTTAAGGATAGAAAACACCTGTTTTAGTCGGAGTCGATGTGATCGAGGTGCTCCTCCCTCGCTCTCTCACGCTCGTCCTCATCGGAAAGCTCGGGTACGGGCGGTGGCACTTTTCTTCCCCTTTCCCTTCCCTTTGGAAGATGATTCTTCGCTCGTGCGGCCTCGTTTGTTGGACGACATAGTTGGGAGAGAGGTTGGAATAGATTCGGTGAGAATTGGTTGACAATCGAACTCAAAATTTGGTTGGAGCAAATTGTCGAACACCTTGTGGGCGTGCCTTGAAAGTGTAGATTTTGGAGAATTTGGTTTGATTCTCTAGCCTCCTTGTGTGTGGGATTTGGAGAGAAGGAACGAGGAGGGTTTAGGAAATAATGGGGGAGAAAATCTGATTTTTTCTAATTTGAAACGCCCCAACTAGGTTCGGACGGCCGTCCCGGTTTTTGTGCTAAATTTCGGACGGCCGTCCGAATTTTTTTTCTCCTTACTGGTTTTGGGACGGCCGTCCCACAAATTAGGAATGTTTTGGTATGGCCGTCCCACATGCTGTGATGCTGGACTTTGCCTTCTGTTTCCCGGACGGCCGTCTGGGATTTTGCTTGCAATTTCGGACGGCCGTCTGGATCCCTTGACCATGTTTTCGACCCTGAAAATTAAAATTCAAATAAATTAATTAGAATGCATGCCTATGAAAAAAAAACGAAATAAAAAAGTAAAGAAAACTACGA